GTCTGGTTGAGGTTCATGGGAGGGAAGCACCACTTAGTTTTTAGGGTTTTTTTTTGGTAGGGTAAGCCTGGCGGGGCAACCCTGGCGGGGGTAGCCCTGGCGCCAATTTGGCGGCGACAACCCTGCAGCGGCAACGCTGGCGGGGCAACCAATTCTGGCGGGGACAACTTGCGGGGGCAACCAACCCTGCCAGGGGCCAACTCTGGCGGGGGCAACCGCAAACGAGACCAACCTGCCAGGGCAATTCTGGGTGGGGGGGGGGGGAACCCTGGCGGGGGCTACGGCGGGGGACCTCCCCCGCCAAGGTCGCCTCCCCCAACCCCGGTGGGGAGGCCGGGCCCAAGACGCACGACCCCAGCATAGGAGGTCCTGCCAAAAAAAGACCAGGCTGGGCCAGAGAAGCCACTTGCGCCAGCGGTGAGTTGAGCGCTTGGCACTCGCCATTCTGCCATATGAATGAGCTTGGGTCCGGAATTGGGCTTGAGGGTGTCTTGAACACAGTATGGGTGAAACAGATTGTCCCGCTCTCATCCAGGAAAGTGCAGGCTCAAGCAACAGCAGCAGTCAACACGCCCCCCCCACCCCCCCCGCGCAAGGGCCGGCGGGGGGCAACCCTGGCGGGCGGCAACCGTGGCGGGGTCTGCCAACCTTGGCGGGGGCAAGCATCCGGGGCCCATATGGCACTTGAAGCCCTGCTCGGCAACTAAACAAAACTTCATAGAGAAGGACGACGAAGCCTCGCCAGCGCGCGAGGAGGACGAGGTGGGCAGGGCCGTCGCAGAGAAGGTGCACAATTCCTGAGTAGGCGACGTGAGGAGGCGTGGAACCCTGACGGGGCAACCCGGGGAGGGCAATGTCACCCTGGGAGCAACCCTGGCGGGGCAACCCTGCCAAGGGCAACCCTAACTCGGCGGCGACCCTGGCGGGGGCAACGCTGGTGGGGGCAACCCTGGTGGGGGCAAGCCTGGCAGGGGTAAAACTGGGCAACCCGGCGGGGTTGCGATAAAAACCATTAAATCTACTGGACGTCTTAATTATAAAATAGAATGACATTGAAAGACTACTTTTTCCATTTGGTACAGCTTTTAACATAGCAATTGGCATAAGAAATACCATTCAGGTACGATATGTAAAGGAGTAAGTAACCCACATGCTTCTAATGCATTATCTGGATGTGAGAAAGAAGAGAAGCCGATAACAAATGAAAGGATAAATGCTATTTTATTATTAGTGGAATTCCTTAAAGGAATATTAGAAGATAGAAAATGTGGATTAAAAATATGAAAAATGGCGGGGGCAACCCTGGGGCATCCTGGCGGGGCAACCCTGGCGGGGGCCACCCTGGCGGGGGCAACCCTGGCGGGGGCAACCCTGGCGGGGGCAACCCTGGCAGAGGCAACCCTGGTCGGGGCAAACCTCGGAGACAACCCTGGTGGTGGCAACCCTGGCCCTAGCAACCCTGGCGGGGGCAAGGTGAGGTGTAAACCTAATGGACGACGAAGCAGAAAGGTGCACGATTCCGGCGAGGCCAATTCCCGATACAACTGCCCGGCAACCCTGTCACCCTGGCGGGGGAACTTCATAGAGAAGGACGACGAAGCCTCGCCAGCGCGCGAGGAGGACGAGGCGGGCAGGGCCGTCGCAGAGAAGGTGCACAATTCCTGAGTAGGCGACGTGAGGAGGCGTGGAACCCTGACGGGGCAACCCGGGGAGGGCAATGTCACCCTGGGAGCAACCCTGGCGGGGCAACCCTGCTAAGGGCAACCCTAACTCGGCGGCGACCCTGGCGGGGGGCAACGCTGGTGGGGGCAACCCTGGTGGGCAACCCTGGCAGGGGTAAAACTGGGCAACCCGGCGGGGTTGCGATAAAAACCATTAAATCTACTGGACGTCTTAATTATAAAACAGAATGACATTGAAAGACTACTCATCAAGTAAAATAGGATGAAGAAAGAAGTAAAGAAGATAATGAATCCTGCATTTTCATTTGGTACAGCTTTTAACATAGCAATTGGCATAAGAAGTACCAGTCAGGTACGATATGTAAAGGAGTAAGTAACCCACATGCTTCTAATGCATTATCTGGATGTGAGAAAGAAGAGAAGCCGATAACAAATGAAAGGAAAAATGCTATTTTATTATTAGTGGAATTCCTTAAAGGAATATTAGAAGATAGAAAATGTGGATTAAAAATATGAAAAATGGCGGGGGCAACCCTGGGGCATCCTGGCGGGGCAACCCTGGCGGGGGCCACCCTGGCGGGGGCCACCCTGGCGGGGGCAACCCTGGCGGGGGCAACCCTGGCAGAGGCAACCCTGGTGGGGGCAAACCTCGGAGACAACCCTGGTGGTGGCAACCCTGGCCCTAGCAACCCTGACGGGGGCAAGGTGAGGTATAAACCTAATGGACGAGGAAGCATATAGGTGCACGATTCCGGTGAGGCCAATTCCCGATACAACTGCTGTCACCCTGGCGGGGGCAACCCTGGCGAGGGCAACCCTGGCGGGGGCAACCCTGGCGGGGGCAACCCTGGCGGGGGCAACCCTGGCGGGGGCAACCCTTGGTGGGGGGGGCAACCCTGACGGGGCAACCCTGGCGGGGGCAACCCTGGCGGGGGCAACCCTGGCGGGGGCAACCCTGGTGGGGGCAAGGGGCAACCCTGGCTGGCGGGGGCAACCCTGGCTGGCGGGGGCAACCCTGGCTGGCGGGGGCAACCCTGGTGGGGGCAACCTGGCGGGGGCGCAACAGCTTCTTAGGCCCGACCTCCCCCGCCGGGGTCGCGCGTCGGGGGTTTAGGGTTAATCCATTATTACATTGTGCCCTATGGCTAGCAGGGATGCATCAGGTGTGGCAAGCTCGATCTGCTTGGCAAAGCAAGCAGATCTCGAAGCGGTAGCGTTCAGTTGTACCGGCCGCCGCCTGGCGCGGGCGGCCTATGGTTTAGGGTTTAGGCAACCGAGGGCATGCAGGCTGCCATTGGGGGTAAGGGGCTCTCCCCTTCATGTTGGAATTTTTGGGACAAAAAAGACATCTAGCACCATCCCCTGTCTGCAAACCCGGCAAGAATTCGCGATGTACACCTGCCATAGCAATCCCCCGTGCCCTAAACAAGTGTTCCCACACCCCAAGATGAATCTCGAAATCCTGTATCAAAAGTATTCTTGCCGGACAGAACGGGGGCTTGTGCTTGACGGGGTTGAGGGCCTGTGGGGATTTTATGGGGGAGGGCTACCAAGATGAGGAACAACAAACGGACAGCTGCCTGCTCGTCCGAGCTGCGGCGCTCATGCTTGAAACACCCCAACCCAAAACCCTGAAACCTAAACCCTCAACCCTAAACGCTAACCCCTCAACCCTAAACCCGAAACCCTAAACACGAAACTCTACGTTGTAAATAGCTCCTTTCTCCGCTTGACAGTGTCAATGCGGGTGTGAGCAAGTGTGCCGGCGTGTGAGTGTGTTCAGCACTGTGCTTACCTCCCAAGAGGTAGCAAATATATGGGTTTGGGGTTTAGGGTTTAGGGTTTAGGGTTTAGGGTCGAGTAAGTACTAGTGCTATTCCTTTAGGGTCCCTTTAATAAGTATACTCTATACTACAGCTAATACCCCCCCCCCTCCCCCCCCAAAGAGAAAAAACCTATTCTAATGATTCAGGCCCATATATTACACTGCTTGGAAGCTCTGTGCGGGAGTCATGGCGCTTCTGTGTGTGCGCGTGTCCGTGTTGCCGTTGCACCTTCTTTGTGATGTCTTAGTGACGTCTTCCACTTCTGAGTTCTTGCTCTTTGTGCCTTCTTCTCGGAACCGATCACTGGGCACCCGTTCCCGGACCTAAGCCGAGGCCCTAAACCCTAAACCCCCCAAACCCTGAGAATCTTGTTGGTTAGCCGATCTAGCCGCTGTTGCCTAAGCCCTTTTATCCCTAAGCCCCTAAACGCCTAAGCCCTGAACCCCTAAACCCTAAACCCAACCACCTGAAAACCAGAGACCCCTAAACCCTAAACAGCCCCAAAACCCCAAACCCCTAGACCCCTAAACCCCCCAAAACCCCCCAAAACCCCTAAACCCTAAACCCTAAACCCCTAAACCCCTAAACCCTAAACCCCTAAACCCCTAAACCCGAAACCCCTAAACCCCAAACCCCCCAAGCCCCTCAGACCCCCCTAAACCCCTGGCCTTGAGCCAAGGGCCGCCCGCTCCGCAGAGCAAAGTGCGCAGCCGTCAAGCAGTGCAAGGCCTCGGGACGCAAAGGAGGCTCGGTTTGTTGTTTAGGGTTTGGGGTTTAGGGTTTAGGATTTAGGGTTTAGGGTTTAGGGTTTAGGGTGTTTCATATTTTCCCTTTAATTATTGGGTTCCAGAGGCTCTTTTTTCAGAATATTTTTGGGAAGACTATTCATAGATTCCCTTTGCTGGTCGTAAGAGGACCTTACTTACGAACGTCCTTGGGAGACGGCTATCTGAATTGCTATCCCCTTTGGGGTATCATGTGGCCCGCACCTCTCTTCAGAAGAACCCCCAAAAAGGGACCGTAATTTGCGGTGAGCAGACCCTCTGGCGCTGAAGACTAGTAGGTTTGAGCGCCCAGGGTTTGTAGGGCTCAAAGATGGAGAGGTTTAGGGTTTCCCAACGTGCTCACAGAAGGCCCATTTGCTATTTGTGCCCATGCTACTCACGTGCTTGCGGGTGCAGGGTTTGGTCTAGGCCCATCTCCCGGCGATTTGTGTCCATGCCACTCACGCGATTGAGTGTTTGAGGTTTTTTCGGGTCAGGTCTAGGTTGCCACATCAGGACCGATACCCTAGATCAAGGGATTAAATGAGGGACCCTTATAGGGGACCTTGGGGGTGATTTAAAGGGGTTATTCAAGGCTACTTAAAGCCTTGCAGCCATGTCTACTAGCATGTTGTGATGTTCCTAAGCCCTAAACCCTAATCCCTAAACCCCAGGCCCTACGCCACACAGTCTGACCCAGCCTGATTCTTGCCGCTTGTGCCCTGTAGGAGGCCGAAGAAGAAGATCTGCCATATACGCAGGCAACGACTTGCCTCCAGGGTTTGGTTTAGGGTTTAGGGTTTAGGGTTCAAAGTTTAGGGTCTAGGGTTTAGGGTTTAGGGTTTAGGGTCTAGGGTTTTGGGTTTCGGGTTTAGGGTTTAGGGTCGAGGGTTTAGGGTGAGCCTAAGCCCTAAAGCCCTAAACCCTTAAACTTCCCAAATGTACACGTTTCCCTATCACTTTAATTGAGACTATTCCTTTTTTCCAAGGAAATACAAGCTTGTTCCCTACATACCTTCTAGTTCCTCTCCTTGAAAGGTTTTGGATGTAACAGGCTTGTTTTTTTGTCGTTGCGGCACGGCTTCTGCCGAACAAAGCCCTAGACCTTCAGATCTAAGGCCCTCTTCATCCCCAAGAAAGGGTTCAGGGTTTAGGGTTTAGGGTTTAGGGTTTAGGGTTTAGGGTTTAGGGTTTAGGGTTTAGGGTTTTCAGTTCCGGAATTCGGGTTCGGCAGTGCCAGCGAGAAGTATATTTTTCGTACCAGCTTCCCCCATGTCGCGAAGATGCAAAGACGCCAGCTCCATCCTTGCGAACAACACACACACACTGTTTCTAGGCTGTAGAGTTTAGGGGTTTAGAGTTTAGGGTTTAGGGTTTAGGGTTTCGACTCTCCTGAACGTTACCCTTGAACCGTAAGCAACACCCAGCTTTGCCCGACCCACGAAGCCCAGGCAGCTCTCAGCTCCATAATATGGGGTTTAGGGTTTAGGGTTTAGGGTTTAGGGTTTAGGGTGAATAATTCCAACTAGTATTCCCCTAGGGTCCCTTTATAGTCATACTACAGGAATCTCCCAAAACCCTATTAAAATTATTCAGGCCCCCATATTATGCCTGCACAGAATCAGGAGTAAACCCCTACTACGAGCCCCACACCCCCAAATCCTAAACCCTAAACCCTAAACCCTAAACCCTAAACCCTAAACCCTAAACCCGCGAGTTGCGAGCTTGTGTTGAGGGTCTGGGGCTCAGAAGGCTCTGAGGTTTACGCGTCTTCTCGGGGTTTTTTAGGCTCAATGTTAAGGCGGTTCAAGGCTTAGCGATTCGGGGTGTGGGGCTTGTAGGTTTAGGGTTTAGGGTTTAGGGTTTAGGGTTTAGGGTTTAGGGTTTAGGGGTTTAGGGGTTTAGGGGTTTAGGGGTTTAGGGGTTTAGGGGTTTAGGGGTTTAGGGGTTATTTTGGTTTAAGTGCACGGTTCAGGGGCCCAGGTTTGAGGTTCACTAGGCTGGCAGCCATTCAAGCGCCCGAAAAGTACCCACCCACCCAGAGAATCCCATACCATTAAGATAATAAAAGTTTCACACGCAACCCAAATTCTTAACCCTACGCTCTCGTCCCTGAACCTTCAACCACCGTAGAACCCTCAGCCCTGAACCTTGAACCCTAAATTTTAGGGCTCCTCAACCCTCATGCGAGGGGGGAGGGGGCAGGGGGGGGGTACAGGGGGGGGGGTGGGGTGGGGAGGGGGGGGGGGGGGGGGGGGGGGGGGGGGGGGGGGGGGGGGGGGGGGGCAGGGGGGGGGGGGGAGGGGGGGGGGGGGGGGGGGGGGGGGGGGCAGGGCCAGGGGGGGCCAAGGACCTTGCCCACTGATTTTCGGACCTTGCCCGCTAAATTTCGGACCTTGCCCGCTAATTTTCGGACCTTGCCCGCTAATTTTCGGACCTTGCCCGCTAATTTTCGGACCTTGCCCGCTAATTTTCGGACCTTGCCCGCTAATTTTCGGACCTTGCCCGCTAATTTTCGGACCTTGCCCGCTAATTTTCGGGCCTTTCCCGGGTCCGAAAATTAGCGGGCAAGGTCCGAAAATTAGCGGGCAAGGTCCGAAAATTAGTGGGCAAGGTCCGAAAATCAGTGGGCAAGGTCGTGGGTCAGCGGGCAAGGTCCGAAAATTAGTGGGCAAGGTCGTGGGGCAGCCAATGGACCTTGCCCACTGATTTTCGGACCTTGCCCGCTGATTTTCGGACCTTGCCCGCTAATTTTCGGACCTTGCCCGCTAATTTTCGGACCTTGCCCACTAATTTTCGGACCTTGCCCGCAAAGCCATTAACATTTATATTATATATGAAAGAGTGGTTTAGGGTTTAGGGTTTAGGGGTTTAGGGGTTTAGGGGTTTAGGGGTTTAGGGGTTATTTTGGTTTAAGTGCACGGTTCAGGGGCCCAGGTTCGAGGGCTTGTCCCTATTTTTGTTGCCTTGTTACAGCTCATCTGGCGCCCCCTGTACTCTACGCCCCGCGAAGGTGTCCTTCTTCTCGGACAACAGCATGAAAGACAGCAACCAAATGAGGAGACTTGAGAGTTTAGCGTTTGTTTTTTTAAGGTTTTAGGGTGTCGAGCAGTTTCGGGCTCGTGCCTTTGTTTAAAGGGTTCAGGGTTTCGGGCTCTTCTCTTTATGGGGTCTAGGGTCTATAGGGTTTCTTTGGGGCCCCGCAGGGTTGTAGCCCTTGGTGTGGTGACCTATGAGGTGAGAAGCTGCAAGCCGCTTAGGCCTAAACCTCATACATCCCCACCCCACCGCATGGAATACCTACGGGGATCCGAATAGTTTACTTCAACCCTAAACCCTAAACCCCAAACCCCAAACCTCAAACCCGAAACCCGAAACCCCAAACCCTAAACCCTAAACCCCCATAGCCGTTGTTCTGGGCCCGACTTGTGTTTGCGTGGGGGTCGTAGGTGCGGTGTTCCAGGGTGCAGCCTCTACACGTCCCTTGTTGCTTCTGTAGGATTTAGAGTTTTGCTTGCATTGGTCCTGTCAATTTGGCTGAATGGGCGAAGAAGCAGACTGCGTTTGCCCTCAACCTTTCTAGCACCTTTAGGGAGGAACACAAGAGGAACTGTCGGTTTTACGGCACTTAACAGTAAACCCTAAACCCTAAACCCTAAACCCTAAACCCTAAACCCTAAACCCTAAACCCAGTAGGGCTATAAGTCCCCTAACTAAGGTTGCAACCATAGTTACCCTTCCTATAACCCTGCTTGTAAGTACCCATGAACCTCCAAGTCCCTAAACCCTAAACCCTAAACCCTAAACCCTAAACCCCAAACCCTAAACCCTAAACCCTAAACCCTAAACCCCAAACCCTAAACCCTAAACCCTAAACCCTAAACCCTAAACCCTAAAGGGGTTCGCAGGGTTCCTGTCAGCCCCCTGCACCAGGAGACGCCTTCCGACCATCCTTCCCTTCACATCTTCCGCGCACACCACCGAGGAACGACCCTAAAGGATCCTTAAGCCACCCTTAATACACCCTAAACCCTAAACCCTAAACCCTAAACCCTAAACCCTAAACCCTAAACCCTAAACCCTAAACCCTAAACTCTACCTTAAACCCCAACAGGAATCCGATTTTTGAAGCCCAGGGTTGGGGGGGCTTGGTCGCATGGAGTCTAGGTTAGTTCAGGGTGGGTGCCCCAACCCCTCCCACATTGGGGTTTAGGGTTTAGGGTTTTAGGGTTTTAGGGTTTAGGGTTTAGGGTTTAGGGTTTAGGGTTTAGGGTTTAGGGTTTAGGGCGGTTTAGGGCCTGCCACAGAAACCCTCAGCGCACCCATGACGCAGGCCATTCACTCCTGAATGGGGGTTTCCGGAAGTAGGGGTGCCTTATTGAGGTCCTTATTGTGGGGGAATCCTACTATTCGGGGGTCTACATTAGGGGTTCCTTGTTTTCGTAATCCCCTAGCTGATTGGACGTGAGGCTTAGGTTTTAGGGTTGAGGTTTCTGTGCAGTTTCTGGTTTCCAGACAGGGTTCAGGGTTTAGGGTTTCGGGTTCAGGGTTCAGGGGCTTAGGGTTCAAGGTTCCGGGTTTAGGGTGCCCTAAACCCTAAACCCTAAACCCTAAACCCTAAACCCTAAACCCTAAACCCCAAACCCTAAACCCTTAACCCGAAACCCTAAACCCAACTGTCGAGTCCTCCGACACACCGGCAGCCGCCAAAGCCGCCCGTTGGGAGATGGCCTGTACCTGGGGCAAGTTCTTGCTGGACGCGTGGCGGCAGAGTGTTTTCTTTAGGGTTTAGGGTTTAGGGTTTAGGGTTTAGGGTTTAGGGTTTAGGGTTTAGGGTTTAGGGTTTAGGGTTTAGAGTTTAGGGTCTGGGGCTTATTTGGTTTTGTTTACGTCTTAGGGTTCAGGGCTTTAGGGTTTAGGGTTCAGGGTTGAAGGTTTAGGGCTCAGGGTTTAGGCTGGCAGTCTTAAGCCCTACAACCAAAGCCCGTTGTTCGGTTTGACTCCTCAGGAGGCCCGTTGCTGTAAGAGCGGCGAATTAGGAACAAGAACTGATCATTCTAGAATAGTACCCCAACAATGGGGCAGTTTTGAGACCCTCGGCCCACGAGATTCAACTCCGAAGGTGCTGGGGTTGAAGGTTTGTGGTTTAGGGCCTTCGAAGGCTTTCTGGGTTTAGAACCCTAAACCCTATAGACCCTAAACCCGGGCTGTTTCGGATCCTCCCGTTGGAGGTTTCAAATCGTGTAACCCGACGCTGCTTGTCAGTGTGCCTCCGAAGTTCAGGGATGAGGCCTCATAGGGCTTAGGGTTTAGGGTTTAGGGTTTAGGGTTTAGGGGTGAGGGTTTATAGGGTTACAGGGATTAGGGCTCCTCTTGTCACGCTGCTAAGGGGCAACAGAAGGGACCCCTTAAAGGGACCCTTATCTCTTATTCCTCTATAATACAACCCCTATATATACCTCATGTAGTCCCTATATACCTAAGTAGCCCCCAAATGACCCCTAAACAACCGCTTAAGCAGTCCCTTGACGTTGCGCCTTCACTGTCTGCTGCCCTTGACCCATGACATCATCCCGTGACGCAAGCATTGCGGCCGCATCCATTCATAAGGTCCAGGGGTGTAGGGACCCTAAACCCTAAACCCTAAACCCTAAAACCCGAAAGGCGACCTGTCTGTTCGTGGTTTCGGAGAAGCGATGCATCACCTCCTCCACTCCTAACAACCAAGGCTCAAGTGCAGTAATGTGCCCTCTTACTTCTGAGTCTCTGCGTCTGTTGACTCTCTTCTCTCTCCTCTCTCTCTTCTCTCTCTTCTCTCTCTTCTCTCTCCTCTCTCTTCTCTCTCTTCTCTCTCTTCTCTCTCTTCTCTCTCTTCTCTCTCTTCTCTCTCTTCTCTCTCTTCTCTCTCTTCTCTCTCTTCTCTCGCTTCTCTCTCTTCTCTCTCTTCTCTCTCTTCTCTCTCTTCTCTCTCTTCTCTCTCTTCTCTCTCTTCTCTCTCTTCTCTCTCTTCTCTCTCTTCTCTCTCCCTCTCTCTGTTGTTTTTTCTTTGCTCTCTCTCTCTCTCTGTGAATTTGCATAATACTTAGCCGTTCTGGCTGCGTTTCCATCATCTTCCTTATGCTGCCTTGTTCATGCGCACGCCAGCATCCTGCACCTGCAGCGTTTAGGGTTTAGGGTTTAGGGTTTAGGGTTTAGGGTTTAGGGTTTAGGGTGATCGAAACCCAGGTTTGGATTTGCATGATCCTCATCGTGGCGCTCCGCGGTGGGGCTAATGGAAGCTCCATCATCAACATCAAGAGCTGCTCTTGGGAATACTGGACCGTGCCCGGTCTTGGTTTCAGGGGGGCCCACGGCCACCCTCCAAAACCCTGTAGACTCCAAAACCCCCACGCAATCCACAAGCCTCTCTTGAAGAATCCATCCTTCTCGGAGCGTCTCGAACTAAAGGTGCAAGCTATGAGGGTGTTGAGTTGGTAGACCTCTAGGATTCAGGGTTTGAGGTTTTGGGGTTTTCGGGTTTTAGGGGCTTTGGGGTTTTAGGGGTTTGGGGTTTTGGGTTTTGGGTTTTGGGTTTTGGGTTTTGTGGATCCAGCTGCAGGTTTCGAAGGGTCTCCTCCTCGTCACCGTCACGAATGTCGAGCGTAGCTTCCCTGAACCCTCTGAACCCTAACTTAGACTCTCAACTCTGTAGACCCCTCAACCCTCAACCCCAACCCCCAAACCCCGACCTAGCGCCCCATCGTGAATCCTTTCCTACATCCGTGAACCCTAAACCCTAAACCCGAAACCCTAAACCCCAAACCCTAAACCCTAAACCCTAAACCCTAAACCCTAAACCCTAAACCCTAAGCCCTAGTCCGTGAACCACGACTGCCGACACCCTGAACAGCTGCGCGCACGATTCGGCTTACTGAGCGGCTTGATGCCCGGCACTGCAGGGATCCTTAGGGTTTAGGTGTTTTTTTTTTTTTGTTTTTTGTTTTTTGGGTTTCGTGGGTTTCTTGGTTTTTTTTGTTTTTTGGTTTTTTTGTTTTTTTTGTTTTTTTTTTTGTTTTTTTTGGTTTTTTGTTTGGGTTTTTTGGTGTTTTTGGGTTTTTGGTTTTTTTGGGTTTTTTGGGTTTAGGGTTGGGGTTGGCCCGAAACCTGGAAGCCTAAACCCCAGAACCTAAACCCCTAAACCCTCTTCCAGGTCACAGGAGTTGGGTTCTTGCTGCTGGTCCTCCTTGGGGCCTTCTCACAGCGACCCGAGGCATGTCTCCTTTTTGTTGGGCTTTTCGGGCAATAGTCTAGGGTTTTGGGGATGTTCGGCTTCAAAAGCTGCGCGCCAAGTTGTTTGTTTTTGGTCTTGTGGGGGGGGGGGGGGGGAACGTGGTCCCTTCTTCGGGCCATTGGTTTTGGTTCACAACTGCTCGGCGGGGATGGGGTTTAAGGTTCAGCATAGGCTGGTGAGGCAGACGATTCTGATGTGCTAGCTAGTTGTTGCCGGACACATTGCACTTAGCTAGAAAGAGAAAGCAGGATGATCATTCAACATCCAAGCAGATTCCTCCTGGCTCAGCAGAACAGCCTGATGATTCCGAGTGGTTGTGGATGGACACCTTTTGGGAGTTCTTTGTCATGAAGTGGTAAATTTCGCGAACCAGGTTTCGGGAAGGTGAGTTCGACACCAATCGGCGCTAACTCCTCATATAGGGGTTGGGAGTGCATGCTTGCTTTTTTTGGACTGAACAACCATTTGAAGGCTTTGCACACCCACAGCAGCGAACCAACATGTTTTACTGTTTGCTAAGGGCCGGCGTCCCGCCCGTGAACCTCCATGAGCCTCAGATTCCCGAAGAACCTGGCCAGAAGCAAACCCTACCCCCCTATAGCCTTGCCATGGCTGACCTTAGCTTCCAAGTTAAGCGCTTGCAGCGGGCTCACGCGCATTTGCTCCAGTTGCACCCGCGGCTTATGGTTGGAACCGAAAGCACCATAAATGTCAGTGAAAACGCTTAAGTTCGACACAGTGTGTTGGGAGTATTGTCGCTAATTTTGCAGGGCCGTTTTTCTACGAGCTTTTCGGGCGGCCACCACCATGCGAAATGCATTATTTGTCATTTCTTTCTGGTTGGCGTTGGTTCGAGGCGAAGAAAAGCTAAGGTCAGTGAAAACTTTAAGTTCAACATGGGGTGTTCAAACTATTGTAGCTGATTTTGCCAGACAGTTTTTTGCGACTAACTTTTCGGGTGCCACACCCATGCGAAATTCACCGTCTGTCCTTTTTTCTGGTATGTGATGGCTCGAGCCGAACAAAAAGTCAAGGCCGGTGAAAGCCCTTAAGATCAACACCGGGCGTTGAATTTCTTGTTGCTAACTTTCCGGGGTGGTTTCTCTACTGGTTTTTTCGGCTGTCGGGTGACCGTTTTCGGCGCTGAAAATGGGCAATAACTGTTTGCACGGAGCAACAATTTAGAAACTGTCTTTGCTTCGTTGTTGGATGTTTTATTTGATTTTTTGGGTTTAGGGTCTAGGGTTTAGGGCTTTGAGTTTAGGGTTTAGAAGCCAAACAAAAAGCAAAACGGAAAAAGCCTTTTAAAAAATAGACCTCCCCATTGAAATCCAAATGTGAGCTGTGTTTGGCGGTTTGCAGCTGAAAGGGTTGGGACGGTTGGCTGTTCGGGCTTAATCTGGGAGTTAAAGGTGGCTTTAGTAATGATGGCCATGGCAGTGCGGTGTGGGTGGCTTAGATCCCGAAATCGAGCGACTCTGACCCCAAAAAAAAGTTAGAGACCAAAAAAGACCCCAAAAAAAAGTTAGGGACCAAAAAAAAAGTTAAGTTCAACACCGTGTTGAACCTAACTTTTCGCGTTGGAAATCCTACGTGTTTTTGCTGTTTTCCTACGTGTTTTTTCAGGCGGCAAGGCTACAAACCGACGCCGTTTGACCTTTTTTACCCTTATTTCCCACATTTTTCCCTGAAACACGTCACACGACAGCCCAAAAACCACGTAGGATTCAGCAAAAACACGCAGGATTTCCAACACGAAAAGTTAGGTTCAACACGGTGTTGAACTTAACTTTTTTTTGGGTCTCTAACTTTTTTGGGGGTTTTTTTTTGGTCTCTAACTTGTTTTGGGGGTCAGAGTCGCTCGATTTCGGGATCTAAGCCACCCACACCGCACTGCCATGGCCATCATTACTAAAGCCACCTTTAACTCCCAGATTAAGCCCGAACAGCCAACCGTCCCAACTCTTTCAGCTGCAAACCGCCAAACACAGCTCACATTTGGATTTCAATGGGGAGGTCTATTTTTTAAAAGGTTTTTTCCGTTTTGCTTTTTGTTTGGCTTCTAAACCCTAAACTCAAAGCCCTAAACCCTAGACCCTAAACCCAAAAAATCAAATAACACATCCAACAACGAAGCAAAGACAGTTTCTAAATTGTTGCTCCGTGCAAACAGTTATTGCCCATTTTCAGCGCCGAAAACGGTCACCCGACAGCCGAAAAAACCAGTAGAGAAACCACCCCGGAAAGTTAGCAACAAGAAATTCAACGCCCGGTGTTGATCTTAAGGGCTTTCACCGGCCTTGACTTTTTGTTCGGCTCGAGCCATCACATACCGGCTCGAGCCATCACATACCAGAAAAAAGTACAGACGGTGAATTTCGCATGGGTGTGGCACCCGAAAAGTTAGTCGCAAAAAACTGTCTGGCAAAATCAGCTACAATAGTTCCAACACCCCATGTTGAACTTAAAGTTTTCACTGACCTTAGCTTTTCTTCGCCTCGAACCAACGCCAACCAGAAAGAAATGACAAATAATGCATTTCGCATGGTGGTGGCCGCCCGAAAAGTTCGTAGAAAAACGGCCCTGCAAAATTAGCGACAATACTCCCAACACACTGTGTCGAACTTAAGCGTTTTCACTGACATTTATGGTGCTTTCGGTTCCAACCATAAGCCGCGGGTGCAACTGGAGCAAATGCGCGTGAGCCCGCTGCAAGAGCTTAACTTGAAGTTAAGGTCAGCCATGGCAAGGCTATAGGGGGGTAGGGTTTGCTTCTGGCCTGGTTCTTCGGGAATCTGTCGGGAATCTCGGTCTCATGGAAGCTCATCGGTGGGACGCTGACCCTTAACAAGCCGTAAAACATGCTTGCTCGCCGCTGTGGGTGCGCAGAGCCTTCAGACGGCTGTTCAGTTTCAAAATAAAACAAGCATGCGCCCCCAACCCTGTGTCAGGAGTTAGCGCCGGTTGGTGTTGAACCGACGTGCTCCGCGAAATTTACCATCATGAAGCACCTGCATTGTCAAGCGCTCCGTTGGGGATGACTTTCTGCAAACAGCATGAACGTACCCCACACCCTTACGCCCAGGTTGTGGGAAACCCCAAATCCCTAAACCTTACAAACCCCAAGCCATCCCAAGCCCTAATCCCTAACCCCTAAACCCTAAACCCTAAACCCTAAACCTTCTACCTTCTAAACTCTAAACCCTATAAACCTACCCTCTAACCCCCGTTGCATCCTCGGAGGCTCCGTGGTACCTCTGCGTCCTCGTAGGGGCGCTGAGCGCGGTGGTAGGCATCGGTGGGGCAATTGTACCTTGGTAGCCCCGCGGTATCCTTTTGCCCTTTTTTGAGGGGTTTAGGGTTAAGGGTTTAGGGTTTAGGGTTTAGGGTAACCAGGGCGCCCTTCATACGATATGGTTGCTGGCTTACCAAGGTGCTGAACCCAATGATGGTGAAGAGGGGGATCGAGGCGGGGAGACTCAGCATTTGGGGCATTTAGGGGGTTTAGGGTTTAGGGTTTGGGGTTTAGGTTTTAGGGTTCAGGGTTTGGGGTTTAGGGTTTATAGGGTTCGGGGTTTAGGGTATGGGGTTTATAGGGTTTAGGGTTTAGGGTTTAAAGTTAAAGGGTTTAGGGTTGAGGGTTTTGGGGTTTACTGGTTTAGGGTTGAGGGGTTGAGGGCTTGAAGGGATTTTTTCGGTTTCGTGGTTTAGTGTTTAGGGCTTCGGACGAGCAGCCTAAAATAAAACACTCACCCTCAGCACTGAAGCCCTTGGTCCAAATGCCAAGGTGCCCAAAGACTCAAACCCCCAAGCCCAAACCCAAAAGCCAAGAAATGTGTTCGTTTAATGGCTACCGGCTGTGCCGGCGATCCCCAAGAAGAACGTGAAACCCCCAGACCTCAAGCCCGAAGACGCCAGAAGCCACTGTTTCTCCAGTGTTACCTAAACCCAAAATCCAAAATTCTAAGCCCTGAATCCTTGATGCTTGCAGAGAGTGCTTGCAGAAATTAATCTGACTTCTTAGATCGGGAAGGGGCGGGGGGGGGGGCATTTCAGCCCTTTTGCACTCATGCCTTTGGTCCGATCGCCCTAAATTCTAAGTCCGAAAACAAGGCGGGGGGGGGGGGGGGGGGGGGGGGGGGGGGGGCGGCGAGGGTGTGGGTTTGGGCGTGTCTAAGTCGTTCATCCACAGCACGGGATTAGCCTGTTGGAGTTTCCTTCGTCTTGGGGGTGAGGGCGCTTGGGTTTGGGGCGTAGAGGGTTCGGGCTCTCAGCTGCAAGAGCATTGTGAGACGCCCCATAGACCCCATTCCCGTTTAGGGTTTAGGGTTTAGGGTTTAGGGTTTAGGGTTTAGGGTTTAGGGTTTAGGGTTTAGGGTTTAGGGTTTAGGGTTTAGGGCCCCACCCCTAAACCGTCCGAACTTGAACCCCTTAAGCCGCCTTAAGCCCCTAACAAGACTTCGCGCCCTTTCGCCAAAAGGTGCCGGCAGCCACTGCGACTGCATCCCTGTTCCTCGGTTTCTAGCCCATTGTCGCCCCCCACGACCCAGATGAGGGTTTAGGGTTCAGGGTTTAGGGTTTAGGGTCTAGGGTTTAGGGTTTAGGGTTTAGGGTTTAGGGCTTCAGGGCTTCAGGGTTAAGGATTTGGGGTCGGGTTCAGGGTTTAGGGTTTTGGAGCTTCAAAC